GCTGTGATTACAGGTGTGCATCCCCAGACCTGGCTCACACTTGTTATGTAACCCTATAGTTCCAGTGAACTGATGAAAGCGTGTGAAAAGTACAGTGGTTGTGTGATCTGGGGATTGAGCATAGGGCCTTTGCACGAGCTACATCCACAATCTGTTTTATTTTTTATTTTCAGACAAGACCTTATTGAGGAGCTGGAGATTTAGCTCAGCAGCACAGCGCCTGCCTGGCAAACACAAGGTTGTGAGTTCAATTCCTGGTACTGGGGGAAAAAAAAAAAGACCTTATTGAGCTGCTATGTTGCCCATATTGGGTTCAAACTTGTGGCCCTCCTGCTTCAGGTTCCCCAAAATGTTGGGAGTACAGGCCATACCATCACACTTGATAATATTAAAGGCCAGTCTAATAAAGGGGCTGGTGATAATATCTGCAATCTCAGCTACTTGGGAGATTGACACAGAAGGAACACTTGAACCCAGGTATTCCAGACCAGCCTCAGCAAATTAGTGAGACACTGTCTCCAAAACATAAAATAGGATGGGCATAGTGGCACATACCTGTAATCCCAGCACTTAGGAGGCTGAGCCAGGAGGATTGATGGGAGTTTGAGGCCAGCTTGGGCTACATAGTGAGTTCAAACCCAGCCTAAACTACATAGTAAGACCCTTTCTCAGAAACAACAAAAATAAAAATAAAATAAAGCCAGTGTGGTAACACATACCTGCAACCCCAACCCTCTGAGAGGCTTAGGCAAGAGGAACTCAAGTTTGAGCCCAGCTTGGACAATTTTGCAACAGCGAGACCCTATCTTAAAATTTAAAAAAAAAAGAAGAAAAAAATGGGCTGGGGACTTAGCTCAGTGTAATTTGGGTACTGGGTTCAATCTCCACTACTGCTAAATAAATAAATAGCCAATCTACAATTCTGGTTTTCAATACATTTGCACAGATATACAAACAAATGGTCATTGTGTATGTGTAGAATATATTCCAAGCTCTGTCCCCTGAGAGGGTCTGGGAGCAGCAGCACTCTGATAGCAATGAGCGCAGCTAGCACCCAGATTTGGATTTCTAAATAGCCTTCTTCACTGGAAGGAGCCAGAGCTGCCTGGAGAAACGGCTGATGTGGCCTAAAGCATGCTTCTCTGCCAGGAGGTAAAGAAATGCTGAAGGGCTCCACCGATCAAATCACATGGACACCTTGCATATCAGAAAAACTATATTGGGGTGGGGGATATAGCTCAGCAACACAAGCACCTGCCTGGCAAGAGCAAGGTCCTGAGTTTGATTCTGGGTACCAAAAAAAAAAAAAAAGGGCTGGAGACTAGCTCAGTGGCAGTGTGAAGGCCTGGATTCGATTCCCAGTACAAACAAACAAACAAACAAACAAAACAACTATATTAGTAATTGGATAGCAAACCAGTGATTACAGTAAGAATTTGGGAGTCCATAGTAATATAATTAAAGAAAAGTTGATGACGGAATAATATTTAGATAATGTCAATGTACTCCCCACACACAAAATCCTTATTAATTACAAAGGTGAAGAGGAACTTGGGAGAAATCCAGCACATACAAATGCAGTCAAAGCAATAGGACATGGGGCTGGGGATTTAGCTCAGCGGCACAGCACCTGCCTGGCAAGCGCAAGGTCATGAGTTCGATTCCCCGGCACCCCCCCCCAAAAAAAAGCAATAGGACAAGTGGAGATGGAAGCCACCTGACAGGGTGCAGTAGGAAGAATACTGCATCCTGCTGTGACAGCGCTGCCACAGGTAATTTAGTTACACCCGTCTCAAAATAATTTTTTTAAAGGACCAGCTGGGCATGGTGGCACACGCCTGTAATCCCAGCACTTGGGAGGCTGAGGCAGGAGGATTATTGCAATTTCGAGGCCAGCCTGGGCTACAAAGTGAGTTCAAGGCCAGCCTGAACTGCATAGTGAGACACTGTCTCAAAAAGACCAAACAAAAACAAAAACAAAAACAAGGGCAACAAATGTAGTTCAATGGTAGAGCACTTGCCTAACATGCTCAAGGCCCTGGATTCAATTCCCAGTACCACAAAAAGAAAGGAAAAAACCTATAATAGTGTACTTCCTAAATATGTTCAATTATTACACATCAAACATAAAGTTTTAAAAAATGAAATAAAACAATAAGAAAAATCCAACAGAATACAAAGATTAAAATGTAAGTTTTTAAAAAATGTTTTTGTTTGCAGAATAGTTATCTCTTAGAAAACCCAATCGAGGGGCTAGGGATTTAGCTCAGCAGCACAGCGCCTGCCTAGCAAGTGCAAAGTCATGAGTTCAATTCCTGGTACCAGAAAAAAACCAAAAAAAAAAAAAAAGAAAACCCACTTGAATCAATAGACACACTAGGAAAATGAAAAAAAGTTCATCACAGTCGCTGAATAGAAAATCAACTCTATCCCTCTGCAAACAAAGGAAATAGTTGCAGTGGTTAAGTGGACACTGGGTTTAGGGCTGGGGGAGTAGCTTCATAGCAGACCACTCACGTAGTAGGCATCAGATCCTGGTTCCATCCCCAGCACTCAAGAGAAAAAAAGGTAAAAAGAAAACAGAGTGAACAAGGCACAGACCTACAATCCTGTAATCCCAGCTAGTTCGGAGAGAACTAGGATCCCAAGTTCAAAGCCAGCAGGGGCAATTTAGCAATAGCCTTTCCCCCAAAATAAAAGGCACTGGGGATGTAGCTCAGTGGTAGAATGCTCCTACTAAAGCAGAACTCCTGAGACAAACAGCCTCTCTCTCCCTCTGTAAAATCTTCCCAGCTCCAGGCAAGCAATGCCCCAGGTAACTCTTCCCTCGGGACTTACGCTTTCTCATGGTGGTCCTGTACTCTTCTCGATGATAGGGGAGACACTTCAAGCAGTTCGCTCATGGTGGTCTCCTCCCTTAGATGGGGAATACAGTGCACCATCACCGATAAAGCTAACAAATGGGATTATAAAGAGGCTTCATAGCATCCTAACATCCTGAGATGCACAGGAGGTGCTTTCTTTCAAAGCTAAAATAGGGATAGGCTAAGAGGATTAACTGCCTTTGTTCTGCTTCTGTATCTCTGCTTGCTTGATGCCACAATTTGTATAAAAGGGGGCCTCTCCTTGGTTTAGGGCCCACCCTGGTTTTGAGCATTTCCAGTGGCTGGGTCATGCGCTAAGAATCCCTCTTTTCCTCTCCAGTTTCTTGGAAATTTCACAATCCTGGGTTCAACCCCCAATACTGCAAAAAAAGAAAAACAGCAAACAGATTGGATAGGCATGGTAGATATTCTGAACACTGACTATTTTTTTTTTTGGTTTTTTTTTTTGGTTTTTGGTTTTTCTCCGGTACCAGGAACCGAACTCACGACCTTGTGCTTGCCGGGCAAGCGCTTTTGCCGCTGAGCTAAGTCCCCAGCCCCGAACACTGACTATTTTTAAAAAAATTTTTGGCCAGGAGTGGTGGCACATACCTGCAATCCCAGCACTTGGGAGGCTGAGGCAGGAGGATCTCTGCAAATTCTAGGCCAGCTTTAACTATGTAGGGAGACCCTGTCTCAAAAACTAAACAAGCAAGAAAAACCTTTTCTGGTACAAAATCAAACCCTCTAGCTGGGTGTGGTGGCATATGCCTGTAATCCCAGCACTTGGCAAGCAGAGGCAAAAGGACTGCCAGGAGTTCGAGGGCAGCCTGGGCTACACAATGAGTTTAAGGCCAGCCTGTACTACAAAGCAAGACCCTGTCTCAAAAAAACAAAAAAAAATTAAAATTAAAAAAAATCAACTTCCCTTGTGTCTTGATGGTGGGAAAAGATGCCTAAAGAGCAGGCATGAATATTTTGGTCATTGAAAGACCTATCACTCATGGCAAGTCACTCAGCTTCTTCGATAAATTTGATCAGTGGGAGTCTGACCCAACATCTATTCCCAGTGGCCTGATAAAGTCAAGTTTCCAAGTCCACAGAGTTGAGGACAAGACCTGAGCTGTGGAAACTACCTTAAAGTTACGTGAAACCACTGCTGGCCAGTTTCCATTGTGGTGCTCTTCTTCAGCCTTATTCCTCCGCGTATGCCTTATTCCTCTGTACGCCATGGCCTAGGGAAGGGCCTTCCGCGTAATAGCTGCACAGTATATTGCAGTAGCCATCCCTGCTCCTGTAGTGGTTAGGGTTTAGAGCACCCATCGTACCTGTTAGCAGGAGGAGGGGTCTTTCCTTTAACACAAGACCTCAGACCGTCTTCCAGCTTTACTTCCTACTGTTCCCCACATCCCATCTCACCCACTGTTTTCTGAACACACCATGCAGGTCTCACTATTTTCTGAACACTCTGTAGTCTTTCCTTGACTTTGAAAATATTCATTGTACTGCCTAGAACGGTGTGCGCGCGTGCTGCTGGGAATCGAACCCAAGGCAAGCTAGGTAAGTCTGCACTGTTCGTTCACGACCAGTTTTGCATGGTAGAAAAACTAGCTGCTGTAAGGAGGGTGGATTCCTACGGAGAGGGAGAATGGAGGGTGGAGGCTCCTGCACCCTCTAGGTGAGGTTAGGAGACGAAGGTGGTGGTGATATAGGTATTAATTCTAAGGTTATTTAGAAGGTAAAATTTGTGAGCGTGAAAGAGATGGGACGTGGAAGGGGAGAGGGGAGGCGCAGAGGAACAGCGCGAGGTTCCTGCTTGTGGAACAGGAATCGCTGTGGTCGGAGGGCACATCTTGGTCCTGTAACTCTGAAACCAGTGTCCGCGTCCTGCCCTCTTTCCGGGGTCACCCCTTCCAGCCTAACGCTGCTCTAGCGCCGGCCGTTACACCCCGCCTGCCGCCCTGCAGGCCGGGAGCACACCCCGAGGCGGGAGACGCTCCCCGCAGGCGGGGCGGAGACGGCGGAGAGCCTCCTGCTGGAGCCCTGCTCCGGCCGCACGAGTCGGCCCCTCGGCAGGCCGCGGCGCGAGCGAGCAGGCTGCTTCTCCGCTTCCTGCTCGCAGCGGTTCAGTTCCTTCCGGCGCGCTCCGCCAGTGCGGAAGCGCTGCTGTCTCGGGGGCACGGCTTTCCTTAAAGGTCTGGAATGCCACCCCACAGCTCCGCCGCGCCACGGCCAGAGGCGAGCTCTGGGCTCGCAGGAGCCACTACCACCCCCGCGGCAGCGCGGACGGCCAGCGTTCTCACCACGCCGCCGCGCCTCGCTGCGGAGGACCGGCCCCGCCCGGCCGCGAGGTCTCGCGAGAGCGCGCTAGCGCCCGTTGCTGCCCGGACTCGGATCGCCGCGCCTTCCACGTCCTCAGAACCGCCCCTCCTACCCTTTTCCCCGCCTTCCAGTCGCGCTCCACTCTCGGATTGGCTGATGGGGCCGGGTCAGTTTTTTTTCCTTGCCAAAAAGCGGCTCCACAGCTAGTCTTTTTTCTGGACCCGCCTCCAAACCCCTCGGATTGGACCGCTGAGTCAGGCGTCACGAGCCTCCTCTGCACTCGGACAAACCAATCAGGATCTTGGCGTATTTTACGAACTGGGGAAGTAGCAGCAGCAGAAATCCAAGAAACTTGGAGAGAAATCTAAAAAAGTGGAGGCGACCGTGAAGGGTTCCCGGGACGGTGCGGCATAGGGATCCTGCAGGAAATGAGGGCTGTGGGAGGTCAGAGGCAGGAGAGCAGTTACGGGTCCCAGGCAGAAGGCAGGATCGGGGTGCCTGGAGGTGGCAGCCAGAAAGAGCGGCCTTGCAGGAACTGGGGGCTTCTGGGCTCGTGGACTGCGGTTGGGGTGGAAGGGGGCCGTCAGGACCCGTGCCCCCAGAACTGGTTGACTTTGATCCCCGATCCTGCCATCTTTCTTCCCCGTCTCTTTGTAGCCGCCATGACCACCATCCAAGACAGTAAGGATCCCCTCCTCCGGGGTGTGTCTCCTACGCCCAGCAAGATCCCAGTACGTTCTCAGAGACGCCCGCCTTTCCTCGCAGTCAAACCGAGCGCCGAGGACCAGGAGAACCAAGATCCAGGGGTAAGGGGGGCCTGGTGGGTAGAGAGTACTTACTGGGAAGCTGCATACACCAATGCACCCCACCGCTGAGTCCCAGCTTTTTCTTCCCCTTCGCCCCTAGAGTCTGGTGCAGAAGCCGCAGCTCAGTACTCAACGTACCCTTGTTGACTCAGCAGGCCCCAGGTCGAAAGCCACTCACCAAACAGAGAAATCACAAAAGTCGATGGCGATCACTCAGCTTCGGAACCCCCTGGAGGAGCTCAGGCCTAGCCCGGGGGGACAAAATGCGGGGCTTGGGCCCCCTCCACAGACAGGTGCCTGTTGAAGGCCTCCTTAGCTGAGTGAGGGTGGGAATGGCCAGTGGAGCTTGGGGCACTTCACCTCCTTGATTTTCTGCTTACTGTAAGAGTCCTGGTAGCTGGGTGTGATGGTGTGCACCTGTAATCCCAGTACTCTGGGAGGCTGAGGCGGGAGGATTACAGGTGTAAGCCCAGCCTGAACAATTTATTGAGACCCTGTGTCAAAATAAAAAATAAAAGGGGTGGGGATATAGCTCAGTGTGAAGAGCCCTGGGTTCAATCCCCAGTACCTAAAAGTTAAAGAAAAAAAAAAAAAGTCCTGGTTCTGCTCCTGGAAAGCTCTTAGAAGCCAGCTTTCTCCTCTTTAGCAAAGTGTCATGCCTTCTGAAGCCTTTTCAGCTCTATGTTCTCCTAATTCTTTGCAAAATGTGCCCATACTTTCACTTAAGTCTGTTACCTTTTAGTAGTTTCATTACAGGGGCTTTGTTTTCTTCATCAGTGGCCCTGACCTTAGAGTAGTGTTAGAAGCTGGACAAATGGCTCTAATCCCAGCTACTCAAGAGGCTGAGGAGGAGACACACAGGTTCAAGGCCAGTCTAAGCTATTTAGTAAGATCTTTTCTCAAAATATAAAAAAAAGGTTGGAGATACAGTTCAGTGCCAGGCCTAGCATGTCCCAGGCCCTGGGTTCAGTCCCTGTACAGGAAAGAAGACAGAGAGAGAGAGAAAGAAAAAGAGAGAGAGCCAGGCATGGTGGTACATGCCTGTAATATCAGGAGATGGAGGCAGGAGGAGCGCAGCAAGTTTGAAGCCAGCCTGGACTACATAGTGAAACCCTGTCTCAAAAAAAATAATAGAAGCCAGGCATGGTGGCGCACGCCTATAATCCCAGAATTTGGGAGGCTGAGGTAGGAGGATCTCGTGAGTTCAAGACCAGCCTGGGCTGCAAAGTGAGCTCAAGGCCAGCCTGAACTGCACAGGGAGACCTTGTCTCAAAAAGACAGAAAAAAGAAAAGAAAGAAAGGCTGGAGTCGTACCTAAAGTTCTGTGAACATTTGGCGAGCTGGGTTGAATTAAATGAGTCTCTTTTTCTCACTTCTGCCCCTCAGGGTGACTGTGCCAGTGTGCATGGTCCCTTAGCTTGCCCCTTCCCGTTCGTTTTCACCTTTTCTTCTTTAACCTTGCAGAAGCTCCAGGGCCCATAGAGTTTGTGGCTGACCCTGCAGCCCTGGCCACCATCCTGTCAGGTGAGGGGGTGAAGAGCTGTCCAATGGGGCGCCAGTCCAGCCTGGCTCAGAGAGTACTGATTCGAGGGAGCCAGGGAGGTGCCATCCGGCGGGGCCAGGTAATGAGACCAGACCTGAGGCTAGGCTAGAGTGGGCTGAGGAGAGAATGCTGAGCTCATGCTAATTGCCTTGGTTGGGGTCCTAGAATGCTCGGGCCTCTGCGTACTTGGCCTCCAGAACCCCCATCCACCAACCAGGCCCTGCCAGGGCGTCCTGCTTCTCAAGGCTGGAGGGATCTGGACCCCGAGGTCGGACTTTGTGCCCCGAGAGGCTCCAGGCTCTGGTGAGTGCCCTGGAGGGGCTGATGGTCAGTGTTTCTGGGAGCTTCCTTCCAGGGACAAAGCAGGGCCCTGGGAGCCAAGGGTTCTATGGGGGTGGGCTCGGTGGTTAAGCCATAGTTTGGGGCCCACACTTGACTCTGCTTTTCTCTCTTGCTCCTGTGGATCAGGTTCCACCTTCAGGACCTTCCTTTCACCCCTCCACCCGCCCTAGTTTACAGGAGCTCAGAAGAGAGACAGGGGGCAGCATCCGGTAAGGAGAGGATGTGGAGGAGGTCATGAGAAAAAGAATGAACCAGTGTCCCAGACCGGGGTCCCCCAGACCTAAGGCTTTCTGGTGGCATTAGGACTCCCCAGGGGGAAACCTGTGGCTGCCAGGGTGAGTCCTTAGAATATGGTTCAGACCTTCAGGGTCAGGGCTTCAGAGTGACAGGAAGAAGACAGGTGAGGTGCTGTTTCTTTCACCTACAACATGGGCTGTGGCAGTCAATGGATTTGACCCTTCCCACTCCTAGCTGTGCAGGCCTGTCCTAACATCTCTGAGCTTGGGTCCCTTTACCCGGGAAATGAGAATGTTTGTACCATGACTAGAAGTTGCTGTGAGTGAAGTGAGATGAAGTGTGCAGCACGCAGCACCTGCCCGTCTGTTGGTACTCAGTGACGCCTATGGTTCTCATTGTCATCAGGACTGCTTCCGTGAGCCAGGTCTCAGGATTGCTCCTGCAAACCCCTGTGCAGCCCGGTGAGTGTGTTCCCTGCCACAGAAAACAGGACAAGAGAAAGCTCCCCAGGTTTTGGTGGGTGGGAGTGGGGTGAGGAAATGGGGAGGCAGGGAGGCTAGATCTGTGGGAGCAGGCGGGCTGGGAGCATTGGTAGGACACTTGCCTGGCACTTGAAGTGCCCTGGGCTTGATCCAGCGCTGCAAAATGAATGCTTTTTTTTTCTTTTTCTTTTTTTTGGTACCAGGAATCAAATTTGGGACCTTGCACTTGCCAGGCAGGCACTTGTGCCACTGAGCTATATCCCCAGCCCAAAATGAATGGATGAATTGGAATAGAAAGAGCTGGGCATGGTAGTACAGGCCCGGAATCCTAGCACTTGGGAGGCTGAGGCAGAAGAATCATTGTAAATCTGAGGCCAGCCTGAACTATATAGCAAGACCTTGTATCAAAAAACAAAACAAAGCCGGGCATGGTGGTGCACGCCTGTAATTCCAGCACTCGGGAGGCTGAGGCAGGATTGTTGCGAGTTCGAGGCCAGCCTGGCCAGCTGCATAGCGAGACCCTGTCTCAAAAAGACAAAAACAAAACAAAACAAGCCAGGCATGGTGGTGCACACCTGTAATGCTAGCACTTGGGAGGCTAAGGCAGGAGGATCATCACAAGTTCAAGACCAGCCTGAGCTATAGTGAGTTCAAAGCTAGTCTGAACTACATAGCGAGTCTCTGTCTCAAACAAACAAACAAACAGGCCCAGAGTTTAGTGCAGTGATAGAACATTTGCCTGGCATGATCCTCATCACTGCAAAAAGCAGCAGTAGTAGTAGTAGTAAATAATAATAATAATAATAATAATAATGAAGAAATAAAAATCCAGTGACTATTTATCTTCTAAAAAACAAAGCAAATGTGGGTGAGGGAGGAGTTAAGAAAGAGACCTTCTGGCTTTTGGATAGGCAAAGGCTTGGCCAGTTGTACTCATGTCCTCATTTCCATCTTCTCCCTGCCACTTCTGCAAGACTGACCTTGCATTTACTGTTCTGTCCCCGGCTCACTCCTAATGCTGGGAGGTTGGGCTGGACTCTCAGGTGCTTCTTGGGTCCCTGGCTCTGATGGGCAGTGGAGACTGCTGAACTGGTGCACCTTTTCCAGAAGTTGCAAAGCCCTGTGCCAGACTCTGATGGATGTTCCAGATCTTACAGCAGATTTCCTGTCTCCTAGCTTCTCTCCCTGAAGAACACGAAAGTGTCCCTCATTCAGATGAAGAAGGAGGGACCCTTCTAGGTCTGGCCCAGCGAGTACCTTTAGGAGAAACCAGAGAGACAGCACACCCCAGGGTGAGATGGGAGCCTCCTGGGCTAGGGATGGGGAGCAGGGGAGATGCTTAGGGGAACTTAGGATTGGGAGTGGAGCCAGGCAGGTCTGGTCCTCAGGATGTTATGGGGTCTGCGTTTGCCACACGTAGGCCCAAGCCCTCTGCAAAGTGGGACTGACCTGTCTTCACCAGGTAGCTGGGGCCTGGAGGGAGAGGTCACAGGTTGGCATAAGTTTATCACCATCAGGTCAGTGCCAGGGCCGAGACAGATCTGATACTGGCCAACCAAAAGCACTCACCCTTTCATCCCACAAATAGTTACTGGCCATCTACTGAGTAAAGGTACTGTTCTAGGCTTTGCACATAAATGCTCTAGAAAGGGAGACAATGTGAAATCTTTAGGCTGTCAGATGGTGATACATTCTCTGTGGCGGCCAGAGGGGTGCGGCTGAAGGGGACTAGAGGGTGGCAGAGTTGTTTTCACCATTTAATGTAGATTGGGCAGGGAGCTCACCCAGAAGATGTTTAATGAAGACCAGGAGTGGAGGGCCCGAGCCATGCATTTATCTAGGGGAGAACATTCTAGACCAAGAGCTACGGGTACAGATGCCTGAGGAGAGAATGTGCTTAGTGCGTTTGTGGCTGAGCAAGAGAGAGATGTGTGAGACTGCAGCCGAGTAAGGAGGAGGACAATAAGGGAAAAGCTTACAGCAATAACAGACCAGATTAAGGAAGGATTTCACCTTGTGTAAATCCTTGGCTTTTTTCACTTGGAACGAGTGGGAAGCCAAGAGGGGTGACTGAATAAAGGGGGTGACATGTTTGACTTCATTCTTAAGAAGTGCCACAGTGCCACAGGAAGGGGGCAGAGATCATTCTTCCACCCTTTCCTTCTCCACAGGATGCCCATGACTCCCGCCTGATGGCCTCCCCTGCCCCTGTGGCCCAGCCCATGCCTGGCCGTGTGGTGCCACCTTCTGTCACCCACCCATCACCCTTTGGACGGGCTCAGCGTGTACCCTCCCCTGGCATCCCAGCTCTGGTTTGTATGGAAAACTCTTAGGGGGTGGGCAGGAATGGAACAGTCTGGCTGGAGGCACCCCCTGGGCCTGAGTTTTGCTTCTGCTCAGCCACCACCTCTCCACAGACTTCATATTCATTGCTGCGGCGTCTTGCCATCCGACCCAAAACCCAGTTCACTCCATCCACCCCCAGAGCTCAGCGGGTAAGAAAGGTCGGGGGGGCGGGGGGAGCTGGCCTGAGCCCAGGCTGAGGGAAGGAAGGAGACGGATGGGTACAGGGAGAGTTAAGACAGCGGCAAGGGGAGGCTGCCTCCATCTGTGGGTTACTAGGCCTTCCGGACACCTCGTTTCTGTCACAGGCCCGATGGTTGAGTGGCCTCACCCCTCAGTCCTGTCCTGAAGAGCCTGCTCTGCCCTGGGTAAGTATCAGAAGCTTGTCCATGCTGAGGTCCCTTGTGCTATCCTCTGGGCCTGGAGACCTAGATGTCTGAAGCAGGTATGTTCTCTGGAGAAGCCACCTACCTCTCCATGTCTCCCTGCTTCTCTGCTGCCCTTCTACTCTTAAATCTAGGGCCTGTCAATTAGGGACTTAGACCCCTCAGCCAGGGACTCTGACTGGTCTTCCTGCCCCAGCCTGGTTTCCTCACCTGCCCTCTTTCTATCTATGTGGCAGGAGCAGATTGCTGTACGGTTGTTTGACCAGGACAGTGGTGTAAGGTTGCAGGAGCAGCCTGGCAGACTAGCTGTGACAAGTCCTGGATCACACCCGTATGGAGCCCTCAACTTTCAGGAGCTAAAAATGCAGGTGGGGCGGTGGGGCCAGGCCTTGATGCCTGCTGGGCAGTGACAGGGCTGGAGAAGAGGGAGCTGAAAGGGGAGAAGGGCATGAGTGGCAGTGTGGGAGGTCTGCCCTGGCCACATCCTGACGTCACACTCAGGCACTCTCTCCACTGCAGCGCATCAGTATCCTGCAGCAGTTACTGCGCCAGGAGGTGGAAGGGCTGGCAGTGGGCAAGTATGCCCCCCTTACTGGAGGCTGCTCTCTGGATATGGTTGAACTTCAGCCCCTGCTGGCTGACATTTCTCGGACTCTGAATGCCCCAGAGCAGAACCCTGGGACGTCCCACCTTCCTGGACTGCCACAACACTCTGAGCAGCCGGAGCCCTGCCCTCCAGAGGACTGCAGGGAAACACAGCCCTGCTCTGGGGCAATGCAACCAGAGCGAGAGGTGACACAGCCATACCCACCAACTGAGCCAGGGCCTCCAGAGTCTTGCTGTAGGGCCAGGCCAGAGACAGCGGAGCCCTCCTCCCAGGAGCAGCCTGAGGAAGCCAAGCCCTGCCCCCCAGCAGAGCCTGCACCCCTTCAGCCTAGGCCCCAGGGACAGTCTGCATCCCAAGAGGCCTGCGCCAGGGTAGGGTTGGGGGCATCTGATGCCTGCTACCTGGAACCAGAATGCCTAGAGTCCAGTCCATGGAGCTGCTGCAGCCAGGGGGCTCCAGCAACCACCGACCTGACCTTCTCTTCCCAACGCCCCCTTTGTGCCAGCCCCCCTATCTGCTCACTTCAGTCTCCAAGGCCCCCGATAGGCCAGGCAGGTAAGGAGTTGTCTGGGACGGTGTTGAACAAAGGAGGTCCTGTCACTAGGAGTGGGGCCCCAACTGCACCAAGTATTGCTATGCATTCTTCCCTCTGCTGTCTCCCCTGTCCCAGCCTGGCTACTCTCAGGATAAGGGAGGAGCTGCTCCTTTATCCCTGGGCTCCTGACCAGCTTGGCCCTTTAGGGAGGGGAAGGGACCATACATGTGGGAGTATAGGACCCCAGGGCCCCCCACTGAACTCTGGTCTTCAGGTCCTGGCAGTCTGGCCCCTCGAACCATGGCCCTGAGGCAGCGCCTCAAAGCGTGTCTCACTGCTATCCACTGCTCCCATGAGGCTCGTCTGGACGATGAGTGTGCCTTTTACACCAGCCGAGTCCCTCCCCCAGGGCCCACTCGGGTCTGCACCAACCCTGTGGCCACAGTGCTCGAATGGCAAGATGCCCTGGTGAGCCTCCAGTCCAGGCCGGGTGGTGGCAGGGGCCAGCCTCCCTCCTTTACTGAGAGGTAGTGGGACTGTGACAAGGTCTCTCTCTCTTCCTCACTCCAGGGTTTCATTCCGGTTGTTTCTGCGGCCCCACAGAGCTCTCCATCCTGAGGCTCCCACTCTCCTGGCTCACCCCTTCCCTTTAGCCCTTATTTATTTGGTCTTCCCATGGGACCGGGGGCCAACACTCTTGTATCCTTTAATAAAGTTTCTGCAGTGTCTGAATGGCCACCTAGGGAGTCTGAAGCACCCAAACTGGGCAGCCACCGGCTGCTCTCCAACTGCCCACGTGGTGGCAGTGTGCTTCCAGCTCAGCGGTTTGCAAGGACTCCAGATCCAGTCCACCGAAGCTCCCCGAGAACCTGTCCGGCCCTGCCCACCCTCTCAGCAATCTCCAAGTGGGTTGGGCTCAATTATGGGGTCTCTGCGCCTTCCTGAGCCTTGAGATCAGTTTCTCATCCCCTAGAGCTCCTCTCCTACAACTCCCCACTGGCATGATGGTACACATCTGTATTCCCAACCACTTGCAGGCTGAGGCCAAGGCTGGGGTAAGAGGGTCAGTTGAGCCTAGGAGTTAGAAGTCAGCCTGGGGGAAAAAAAAAAGGAGGAGGAGGAAAAAAGAAGTCAGCCTGGGAGCTGGGGATTTAGCTCAACAGAACAGCGCCTGCCTGGCAAGTGAGAGGTCGTGAATTTGATTCCCCGTACCGGAAAAAAACAAACAAACAAACAAACAAAAAAATAGAAGTCAGCCTGGGCAATGTGAAACCCCATCCCCAAAACAAATGGAAAACCCCCAGCTCTGCTACACAGCCCTCTCTCTGCACTAGGCAGAATGGCAGGGCCCAGAGTCAGACCTCTGGGATCTTCCCTTGTTAGTGTCACTGTGGTTAGTGTCCCTCTCACTTATAGAGGGAGGTCTGGGGCTCCCCTGGAGTGGGTACTTCCACCCACAGCAGAGAAGCCTAGGCTGCCCTCCTTCCCTGGCATTGCCAGTGGTAACTAAATTTTGCCTGTGGCAGACTGACAGGCAGGGTGGGAGTCCTTTCTGGAGGTTGAGGAAACTTTTCCCCCCACTCTGTGTACCAAGTTAAGGCAGCCACACAGGGTCCCCCAACCTCATTTTATTGGAAGAGGTAACAGCAGCTATAGCCCTGAGGCCTAGGCCCGAAAGAGTGGAATGGCGACTGTACAGAATGAATTTAAATGCTAGGAAAGAATTCACCAATACCTCCAGTTCACAAGAAGGCTGTCAAGGCTGGAGCCTGGAGCCTGAAAAGGGATATGAGGGAGCAAGGGACAACGAGAGAAAATTTTCATAACCGAGGACCAGTGCCTACCCCAATCTAGTGTCTCTTCTCGCCTATACTGGCTGCAAGTTTGTATTCTTTGCCTCCTAAGCCACCATGGTATGCCTTCCAGTTTCTGGGCCTCTGAGCCCAGGCTAGTGAAGCTGCTTCCCAGGTCCAGGCAGAGGAGTGGGTCTGGACCTCCGCCGTTCTGGTCTGGCTTTGCCTCGCTTCTTGCAGATGTGGGCCTTGCCAAGGGCCTTGCTGGCTCTTCCTCCCGCTGGCCCCTCAGCTTCCCAGCCGGTACCCTAGAACCCTAAGCGTCCGCCCTTTGGCTGCCTCAGGAGCAGGTGGGTCCCCCAGGTTCACAAGGGATGGGTCGTCGCCTTGGGCGGGGCCGGCAGGAAGTGAACAAGGACTGGAGCGAAAGGGGAGCAAGGCTGACGGTGCGGGGGATGGTGCCCGGCCCAGTTGGCTCAGTCCGGGTAGATGATGAAGCCCGAGAAGGTGCTATACTTGTTGGTGTTGCCTCCGTGCACCTTCCCGCCATCGAGCTTGATGAAAACCTCGTCACCCACATCAAGGTGCAGAATGACGCTGTTGCTGGCGTAGTCATAGTTCTGGTCCGCATCCTGAGCAATGGCGCTGGCCCGGACCTAGCAAGTGAGAGGAAAGGACCTACTCATGCCGAGTGGAGCTAGGGTGACCTGGGAGGCCTCAGAGAGGTCAGGCTGTGGTACTGGGAAGGACAAGATGAACGTAGGAGAGCCTGAGCAGCTCTGCTATGCACTAGCGGTGCAACTCAGAGGCACATGCCAGGACTCCTCTGGACCCCAATCTGCGCCATAAAATGGGGCAGGTAACAGTAGAATCTACCTCATCAGGTTGTTAGGATTAAATGGGTTGCTACATGTGGGGTGTGTTCATAACAGTGGCTGTTATAGAGGGTTTGCTATGATTATTCTCATTTAAAAATTAAAGCCGGGCGTGGTGGTGCATGCCTGTAATCCTAGCACTCAGGAGGCTGAGGCAGGAGGATTTTGTGAGTTCCAGACTAGCCTGGGCTACAAAGTGAGCTCAAGGCCAGCCTGAACTACATAGCAAAACCCTGTCTCAAAGACAAAAACAAATACATAAATAAATAAATAAATATAAAAATTAGAGCTGGGTGTGATGGCCTATGCCTGTGATCCCAGCACTCCAGATGCTGAGGCAGGGAGACTGCTATGAGTTCAAGGCCAGCCTGGGCTACGTACTTTAAGACCAGCTTGGACTACATAGACTGTCTCCAAAACAGGCCAAAAATAAACTGAAATAAAACCTGTAGGATAATTTTTAAGATTCTGTGCGCAGTGGGACCTCTACTAAGTCCTAAACTTAGGCTGGGTCATAGGTGCATCTGTGTGAGCCACAGCATGCAGGGTCAAGGCTCTGGCCTCTGGGGTGCCCATTTCTGAGTGGAGCACCTGCTGGTGTTCGATGTGGGAGTGGTCTGCTGAAAGAGGGAACCCTGCCTTCCCCCTCTGGCCTTGTAGCAGTTACCACAGGCTGTGAGCTCCCTCCTCAGCCCCCCTCTTCCTATCCCACTGGGGCTGGTTATTAACTCATTAATTATTCATCATTATTCTAATCATTATTTACCATCCCCAGGGCCGCAGCGCCTGTGTGGAGGATGGAATACAGAGTGGGAACAGCACGGTCCCGCTCCCTCTAGATCCAACACACTCTAAATACATACTTGGCCCTGGGCCTCCTCCCAGACAAACGGCATAAACCAAGCATGCCTACTCTGTGCCACCTGCGCGTCTACACCACCATGCTACTTACACCTTCACCCTCCCCACCCAGACACACTCTAATCACACACACTCACACTTCCTTCCACATAGACACTATCTCACCCCCATAGAGGGGTTCCACACAGGAACTCTTACTTGCTTTCTTCCACTTTCTGGGGAGATTCTGTTGGGAGGAGGCCCCAAAGCAGGTGCAAGAGGTGGCCTCCTTAATACAGAAGGGTGTTGTGGCAAATCTGGGCCCAGAGCTCAGACAGAACTCCAAGGAATAGGCTCGGTGCACCCAGGTCACCCCTCCAGCCCCTACTCCGGTGGGGCATTCAGAGGTCACTGCTCAGCCCCAACCTCCCCATCTGGCCTGCATCATCCAGGCAGCTCCCCGCCACACACACACCAGAGGCCTCCCCCTACATGTGTGTCTCCAGCTGAGTCCTTGGGGCTATCCCCAAACCAGGGAAAAATGACTGCCTGCAGGGGCAGCAAGCAGGAGAACCTGGAGGCTTCAAGGTTGCTAAGGAATGATGTGAGGACTGTGGACCAGGCCACAATCCAAGGTCTTGGTCCTCCCCGTGCTTTGCCCCACTCTCCCTCCAAATCTGTTTCTTCCATCCCCTCACTGGCCCCTGAACTGTCAGACCATTTCCCAGCCATGCCTGCAAGGCTCAGTGCTATCGGAGAACAAGGAATAGCCTAGAATTGGCCCCATGATCTGGGGTGAACAACAGGACCACTGCCTACCAGTGGGCAAATTTCTATTTTTACCTTTTCCTTGAAAATCCAAGCTCAATTTCTCCACGTGGGGGTTGCCTACTGACCGGTGACTGCCTGACAAGTGGGCTCTATCCTGATTCAAAAGAGCCAGATAGATTCCAGGTAGCTCACCTCAAACCAGGGCTGGGAAACCCAAAGGCCAGGAAGACTGCCCCTCAGAGAGAAGGAAGCTCAGAATAGGAGTAAAAAGGGGGCTACCTGGTAGGACAACACGGCTGCCTTAAGTTGTAATGGGAGGTCGAAGCTGCTTTAAATCGTGAGTTCTAGTTCAGGTACCATTCCTAATGCTCTGTGAGACCCTGAGCAGGTGATCTTTCTCTGGCCCCCAATTCCAGTTTGGCTAAATAAAGTTATTTATTAGCCCTTGGCTGCCTTTCGCTCTTGGATTTACTGACGCTGTTTCGGGGAAGGAGCTGGGGCTGTGGGATGAGTGCTGAGCGATTTAGGAAGCTCCCAGTGGAGAATCTGGGGCTAGGTGGGAGAGGGGCATCTCACCTGTCCATTCTTCATCAGATCTGCCCACATGCTGGTGCCATCGCCGCCGCGCATGAGCACATGGTAAGCGAAGAAGTAGACGCCCGGCATGGGGCAGGTGAACTTGCCACTGGGCGCCTCCTAAGCATTGCCCACACCGGTCACCACATAGTCAAAGCGCAGCCCCTCATAACCCTGGTGAGGCCGCCACAGCCCACATAGAAGGCAATTCCAAGCACGTGGCCGGCAGGGGGCGCGGCACCATCCGGGCCTGCGCGTGGAGGGCCGCGGAGGCCCTGGCCTGCCTGGCTCTCCCAGGGACCCTCTGAGGCCTGGGGTCCCAGAGGCCCTCGCAGGCCTGCCTTTCGGCGCCAGCTCACCTCTCCGTTGGCACCTGGCGGGCGTGCCATTGGGTCCCGGGCCTCAGGCCTGTGCATCACACACCGTGCAGCAGTGGCCCAGCATCTCATAGTGCGCCGGCCCGCGCAAGCTCTGCACCAGCAGCGGGATGGCCACCAGCAGCAGAAGCACCATGGCCACCCCGACGGCCGCGCCCGCCACCCGCTTACGGCGGCTCAGCGACACGGCCAGAGCCAGCAAGTCCTCTTCACTTTTGGGCACAGTGGCGGCGGAGGCCTGGGGCTCTCCACGGGCCCAGTGGACAGTGGCCGGGCTCCGGCCTGGGTCTGCGTCACCTCAATAGCTGCGCCCGGCCCCCTGCCTTTGGGGGCTTCCGCCACAGGGGCGCCGTTCCCCAACCGCCCGTCGAGGCAGAGGTCCCCCGCGGGCTGGGCCAGCTGCAACGCTGCCGGCTCAGAGCCCGTGATCCTGTTACCCTACCACGCAGTCCTAATGTCCCGGGCACCCGGGATCGCGGCTTCTTGGACGGCTGCTTTCTCACAGGTCACGGATGCCCGCCCTCTGAGCGCCTGCTTTCTCTCAGATGGCGGTGCCGAGGCCCCAGGCTTCCCACACCGACCGCTCCCCGCAGGAATGGGGCCTCCCGCACGCTGGACGTCCCAGGCTCGGGGCCGGGGGCGGCGCCCACTAGACGCGACCTCCTCGGGGCTGTGCGCTCTGGCTCTTGCGGAGCCCTGGCCCGCCTTGCTCCCCCAGCCGCGGCCGCAGCCCGTGCGGGAGCCTTGGCCCGGCGTCTGTCTCCTGCAAGCGCTTTTCCTCTCTGAGTCCCTAACCTTCCTCCCCTTCCTACCGGGGCGGCAGTGCGGGTGATGTGAGTCGCCGCGCGGCGGGAGCCACTATAAGCGGCCGGAGCCCGAGCGACCCCTGGCGCCCAGACGTGGAAGCGCGGGGGCGGGGCGGGCCTTGCAGCCCCCTTCAGCCCCCCACCCCCACCGACTCGGGGTCCCGGCCTCCGGGTTTCCTGCGGCCTGTGAAGGTTCTGGGGGGACTCGCGGCTGCCACCTTACTTACTTTCAACCTCTACCCGAAGTTTGGCATTCTCAGAGCCCAGAGGAAGCCAGAATCAGCGATAGGATAAACAGAGGTCAAGATACAGAGAAGACAGGTGAATTGCTAAACAGGGGGAGCTCACAAACAGAAGACAAAACAAGAGGGAGAGAAAAGATGGAAATTCGCCCTGCGTGATCGAACAGAGTACTGAGTAACACAGTGAAAGGTTTAACGGATACTTGTTGGCCTGAACTGGAAAAGGCAGATTTCCTGCCCCCAAACCCAGCCCCTAGGTTTGGGGGTGTAAAGAGAGAGAGAGAGAGAGAGAGAGAGTGTGTGTGTGTGTGTGTGTGTGTGTGTGCACGCGCGCGCGCGGTGGGGGAGGGAGAGAGGGAAGGAGAGAGAGAGAAGCCTGGGGAGCAAGCAAGAAATGGACAGAAAAGCAGAGAAGGAGCGACAGAGAAATCAAAGAGACAGCCAGATAGAGACGCAGAGACAGAGACAAAGCTACGAAAAGAGACTAACTGACAGCCCCACAGGGGGAGAGGGAGAGACAGAGACTGAGAGAGAGAGACAGGAGCCGCGACAGGTTGACAGATCCAGAGAGAAATGTAAATGGCGCGCTGCAGAGAGACACCCAGGTCCGTGTTCGGACTCCAATGTGACATATCAACTGTGGGGAAGAGAGGCGGGGCGGTTCTGCCAGCCTAGCGGCAGAGTCTGGGCCTGTGCTCTGTGACAGTGTGCTGGAAAGGGTGGAGGTGGCCCCGGGACCCTGGCCTTGTGTGTCCCTGGGTGAGTGGGATTGTGAATTGTGTGTTGTCTTTGTATATGTGTGTGTGAGAGCTGTTTGAAGAGAAGTATTTGTATTTATCCTCCTCTTGCTCCCTATATTTGGGATCATAAATGCCATTTCTCCCAGGTCAGGACTGAGGAGTAGGGGGCTCCCAGGAAGAAAGGGAGTCCAAGGCAGCTCTTGTCTCACTTGCCCTCATCCTGGAGGCTTCCAGCCCCAGAAGTCGCTGCCCAGGCCACCTCCCCCCACGTGTGTGCCCTTAGACAAAACCCAGGAAAGTTGCAGCCCACATAACGGGTGTTTGGTTGGTTATGCAAATTAATACAACTGAAATACAGATTAGGTGCTAAACACCTTCCTGTGACTGTCTTTGTGGGTGACCAAGAAGGAAGGCCAGCTTTGATTTGGCAGGGTCTGGGTAGAAAACTATTGGCTCCACCTTCTTGTGGATCGAGACTGGAGGCTTGGACAAGGGGCTCTAGACAGGTGACAGTGGAGATGTCTGGAGACCATGAGGTGGCAACACCAAAGGGCCCTGAATGACGAGGGTAAACCAGGAGTGTGGTGTGCGCAGTATGTTGTGTAAAATGGAGCGCAAGGCACACCAGGGTGGGGTTGTTGGGTACAAGATGATTTTCTCCTCTCTCAGTTCCTGTACTCCTGCACTCTCTTCCCGTAATGGTGCGGGGAGACTGAGCTCTCTGAGGCTGGGTCAGTGTCTGGGTTAGAAGTCCCTGCCTGGCTGAAAGGGTTGGGAGAGAAAGGATTGGCGGTCAGTAGGGGGAGGGGCCTCCTGCTCCAACCATAAATACAAATTTTATTCAAGGTCTTTGTCTCCATTTGTCTTCCTCGGGGGGTTGAGGGCCGTGTCGGCCCCATGCATGTCTAATTCCAGATCTGCTCCCCCAGGCTGGATGATGGATGGGTTAGAGAGAGCAGGCCTGGCTCCCACCAGCCTCCCCTACCCGAGCCTCAGCCCCCATCTACCCCAAGTGCTGCCACCCCTCTTTTTCCTCCTTAGCCCTGCCCCCCTCCACTCAGTAGAGGCCCTTTCTGCCCAGCTCTGCTCCCCAGCTCACTCATCCTAACTCCAGCACGCCTTTTTGAGCCCCTCACCTCAGCCCCTTTCAGGTACCAGGTCTCTTCTCTAGACTGGAGCTTCCCTTCTCCTCCCATGCCCAGCTCAGGCTGTGAGTGGTAGTGACCAGCAGGGCTGCCAGTGGTCGGCTGCAGCAGAGTGTGTGGTGGGGGGAGCAGGCTTGGCTCACAGGGAGCTGAGGGGCCAGCTCCATGAATTTATTCATGTTCTGTTGCTCTTTCCCCACGCTTTGGAATGAAGCTGCCAGCTCACCAGGTCCTTACTGCTTCCCCTGCAGCTGTCACATTCCTTGGAGGAGGGACCTGGGTAGGGCTAAGACCAGCCAGTGCTCCAGAGGCCAGAAACCAAGAGGGAATGCTGGGGTCCAGGACAATTTACCCAGAGCTCTCCTTGTAGCCAAACTGGGAGCCTTGGGGTGGTGGTGTGTTTAGGAATAGAATTAGGTAGAGAAGGGTGTGGTGCAGGATGAAGAGGCCATGGGTACCAAAAAATAAAATAAAAAAAGAGGCTGTGGACATAGGGCCAGTATTGATAGGGGATAGCTGAGGATCACTTTAACAGTTCCCTAGGTGCTCCTGTTTGAAATCATACCTAGTTTGAATCCTGAATTAATCTCTCCCTTGATTATGTATGAACTCTGCCCCAGATCCCAAAGGATACAATACATTTATTTCTCTCCAATCCTAAAATGAATCTTAACTCCATGACCTGACCCTAAGTGGAATGCATTGCCACCAGTCCCAGAACCCAAGATCTCCCCAGAATTTCCCCCAGGCCTATAGCCAGGTGTATGTCAGAGTTTTGAGGACCAGACTTTCGATTAGTTATGTGATTTGCATATTATTTGCATGTGATATGTGTCTTCGATTCTGCGGAAGTTTTCGTGTTAAAATTTTATGAAGTCTAGCAGAGAGATACTAGCTCCTTGAAGGTTCTCTTTTTTGTTCCTTCTCTTTTTTTTTAAAAAGACAAAGTCTTGTTATATAATTCGGACTGGCCTTGAACTCAACTATGTAACCCAAGCTAACTTCTCACAGCAATCCTCCTGCCTCAGCCACCTGAGTGCATACTGAGATTACACATTCAGCTCTCTTATCCTTCTTGTGATTGACCCCAGTCCCCTCAAGGAAAGAAGGGGGCTGAAAAGACAATAAATAAAGAGCTCACAGAATGGAAGATTGCACAAGCCTGTTCCCTCATCTGTAAGAAAGAGGAACCAGCTGGCTGGTGTTCCATGAAGATCTAAGGAAGCACGTTTCCCCCTTGCATTCTCTGTCCTCCTCCAGAACCAGCCCCAGTGTGGTTCTCCCCTACTGCTATGCTCTACTTACCAGAGGTCACATACAGCTGGAAGTAGCCTGGGTTACCTGACACCAGAAAAGAGAACTTGGTCCACTTGAGAGGCCATCAGATTGCATGGAAAGGGAAATAACATCATTGAGTATTGTATTTTAGGGCTTTTAACATGTGTCTTTATAACATTCCTGAGAGGTGAAAACGTTTCCATTTTATAGATAAGGAAACTGGGGCCTAGAAAAGGGGAAATGGCTTGTCGAATCTCACCCTGTAAGGGATGATCCTAGAATTGGAGTTTTGATAGCTTGGCTTCTTTCCCAGAGCCCTGGAAAAGAGACAAACGGTGCCTGAGGCACTGGCAGAGAGAGAGAGATCACGACAGGAGTGTAAAGTGAGACTTAATGGGGTCTCAGAGGAAACTGTATGTATGAGGCCAACAGGGCAGGCTCCAAGTGTCCCAACCCACCCAATGCTATCAACTCTGACCTCCAACAGGGCTTAACATTGACTAACGGGAAGACCAAAGTTCTCTGCAGAGAACTGTTCAGTTAGATGAGGAGAAAGAAGCACAGAAAAAGAAGGCACAGAAAATGAAGTGAGCTAGAAGAAAATTTGCTCAAGGGGCTGAAATCAGTTGTCTGTTTCCCCAGAGAATGGGGAAACAGTGGTGGCCCAAGAACCTCTGCACATTTTGTCTCCTTGTGGAGTTTATGCGCCTCCGCCTTGGGGCCAGAGCCAGGGTGCAATGCCAGGACCAGGGCCTCCCACTCCTCAGCCCGTGCGCCTGGTCCAGCAGCTCCTGGTGGCCTTGGGTTCAAAGGGTTACATCAGGGACCCCCGGGGTAAGAACGGGCTCCCAGCACCCCAGAGAGTGAGTGGAGACTGCGTCCAAGGTTCTTGTCAAGCCAGAGAGCTGATTTCCTCCATCCGCTTCCGTCCTCACCTCCTTTTCCTCTTTCCTTTGCGTCTGCCTCGTCCCACCGAGCTTGAACTCCAGCCTCTGGGTAATGAAATGTGGCTATTGGCTACACAGACTGCTGTCAGATCCCTCATTTCTCCGGAGCGTTATTGGATGCCGCAATGGGAGACCGACAGGTGAGATGAGGGGTAGGGCGAGCCGAGGGAAGAGCACAGGCTAGTGAGAGCCAAGAGCCCAGGAGGTGGTGTCAACCTCCAAGTTTCCAGGGTTTGGCTAAGTGGGATAGGCCCCAGGATGCTCTTTCTGGCTGGGGCCCCTCGTGCTGTACCCTGCTCTGACCAGCCGCAGACAGAACGGCCCCACAGCACCGCGGACAAGACCTGACCCCGCACTCCTCGACTAGCACCCTGGGCGGGCTTCGGGGCGCGCCGCGTGCAGCCTCGCAGCCAGCGGTGGCCCCGGCACTTCCTCCCATCTCCTTCCAGCCCTTCCCTCTTGCTCCCCCTCCCTCCCACGCTCCCTCCCCCGCGGCCGCGGCCTTTATTAGGGATTCCGCGGCTGTCGGTCCCGCCATCCATCCTGTCCGCCGGCAATTAGGCGGCCAGACAAAGAGCAGCTTCGGATGGATGAGGGTCCCGGCGGATCGGAAATGTGAAGGGTCAGCGCTGCCGCCCGCGGCGCACCCCGCTCCCCCTTCCGCATAATCACCCGCCGCCCGTCACTCACCCGGCCGCCCGGGGAGCTCTGGGCGGGAGAGGGTGGGGCTGGGGCTGCAGCCTTGGGCAGGGCGCCCAGGGCGGGGCGAGGGCAGACCTGCAGCAGGTGGGCTTCCTTCGAGAGTGCGGGGAAGGAGACCCGAGGCGCCGGGAGAAGGGGGGAAGGGGCCTGGGCCCAGGCGACCCGAGGGGCCTGAGGGCGCGCGGGCGGTGCCTGCCCACGGGGAAGCCGGGATCGCGGCCCGGGGCGCCTCCTGCTGCGAGGCTGGAGAGAAGGGAACGCCTTCGGGCCTACTCCGAGCGCGGGGCCGAAGCCCAGGAACGTCCCTCTTCGGGAAACTGAGGGTCTGTAGCCTGGCGCGCCTCCTGTTGGAGCAGAACGACGCTTCGGTTCTAATCCCCGGTCTCTTGAATGAAATCCAACCCATCCACCTCAAAGCGAGAAAAGCTGCAAGTCCGGGAGAATCTGAGAGGGGTCTAAAGGAAGTTCAAGGAGTCCAGGTTTTACGGCTGATTCTTTGGCGCTAGCTCCCAGCTGACAAATCAACATCTCAATCTGACAATTAGTGGTCGAGATGTTGGGAGAGGGGCTCTCGGAGCCCCGGCTGCACAGCCCTCCTGGCGGGAGGCAGAGGCAGGCGGTGCTGGCAGTGATGAACGACCCGGGGGGGGGGGGGGGGGGCGGGGGGAACCCCCGGGGGGGGGGGGGGCGGGCGCAGGGCCCCGAGCGCGCATTCATTACTCAGCTGACAGGCGGCGGAGGGCCGGGCGGGCCGCGGGTGGACGTGGGGAGGGGGACAGGGGGGGGAGTAAGGGAGCGTTTAACATTCCCTCTTCGCTGTCTGCTCCCGTTTCTTCACCTCGACCCTGGCACTTGACTTCCTCGCGCTTAGCCTTCCAGTCGTTGAAACTCGCCCTGATTGCAGAATTAGGGAAGTAGGCGCGGGGGGGGACAGAAACCTCCTAAGGTTAAGCAATTAAAGCGTGAGATGTCAAGAAAGGGTATGGATAGGCCTTAAGACTAGGCTCTTGGGCGTGAGCTCAGAGGAATTTTGTCATTGTTCACACAGAAATAGTGCCCGAGGGAGGGCTTACTAGGTGTGTATCTGCGATGGGATCATTGACCACGTGCCAGGGACGTGTCAGCCTGATTTTGTCAGTGGATGTGTGAGCTTCGGGTGTCTGAGGATGAGCCACCACCCCTCCCTGAGCGACAGCCCCCTTCCCAGCTTGCTGTCAGCTCTGTCTCCAGTTCTGGAGGAAATGGCAGTGCACATGGTGACAGCTGAGGTATGCGACTGAGGGGCATGTGACATAAGTTAACTGTGAAAGCGCTGGTCAGGACAACTACTCCCTTCTGCTGCGTCCACCGCATCTCTTCCCAAGCATGGAGAGTAGTGGGTTTCCCCTCCCCTCAAAGATCCAGGTGTGAAATCCTGGGGTGGGGGAGTGATGACTCCGAGTTCCTCATAGCCCAATGCACATAGTCCCCAGTATAAGATGTGAGCCCCAGCCCACCTAGTCTCCAGGGAGAAGGTAGATGCTGGACGGACACCTGTCTGGTGCTCAGGAATGGGAGGGGCAGACCTTCAGTTCTCCAAGGCAGTGCTCCTCATTTAGGGGTAGAGTAGCGGATGCCGGGACCCTGACCTTTTGGATTTCAGGTTCAGCTGGTTTTAGGGTTGTAATTTTTCTCCCTGATGCCTCTCGTTCTTCATCTGGCTTTGCTTCCACTCTTCTCCTTCATTCTCAGACCATCAAGAAGTTAAGTCTGCTCACATTCTCAGTTCTGAATCTCCTGGGCCTACAGAACAGAGATGAAGCAGCTCTAGGTCTCTGACCTTTGTTTTATTTAGCGAGATTTTAAGGCAACTCCCCTTTGCCTTTGCTCTGAGAGCTGGGCTACCCTTGGGTTCTTCATACCTTTGTCTCTTCTCCCCATCTTTGTGCCTGCATACTTTCACTTTTAGAGCTCTCTTCCAATTTTCTCTCCCTACATTTTGGGGGCGTCTTTATTCCTCTTGGGGCTCCACCTTCTAGGAATACCCTGTGTAACCACGATGGTGGTTGTGGCAGAGGGAGCAGGGGCTTCCTTCTTGGCCCAATCAATAGGCAATTGCTAACTGAAACATGGACAGACCACTTCAGGGCCCAGCACGCCCGGATCGCTTCTCATTCCGGGCACAAGCGCGCCTGGTCGATGCCCGCTGCCCGTCTCCCCTCTAAGCGGATCTCCTCCTACCTCCACCCCCTCTGCCCGCCTGGAAAAGGCAAATTTGACATTTTTAAATCCCGAGCCTTAGAGGGATCGATGAGGCCCGAGGGCCCCGCCTGGGGTCGATATTCCTGATTGGGAAGCGGCCGCTGTGCGGAGCTCGAGTGTAAATCACCCGGACTGGGGGAGGGGGCGCAGGGAGACTTCTGCGTCCTGGGCTCGAGGGTCGGGGTCGGGCGGGACCCGAGGGTGACAGAATGAGAACAGCAGGCTTTAGAGAACCCGAGGGAAGCCTGGCCAGGGCCTCTCCCCTCCCCCGCTTAGCCCTGACAACTCTCCTGGCCTGCTCCGGTCTCGCTTCAGCGGCTGCCACCCTCCGTTGCCCCTGGAGCCGCCGGGGAGGTCGGTGTCGGAGCCAGCCATGCGGCGGCTCCTCTCCGGCCGCTCCCGCGGGGCCCAGGCTTCGGCGGCGGCTGTCACGGAGGCGACAGGCCGGGCCGCCCGGGAAGGGGCGGGCGGCGCGCGAGGCCAAGGGGGAGGCTGGCGCAGCTTTGGCCCTCGGTGGGCGCGCAACAGATGTTTGCAGAATTGAGGGACAGCGAGGTGGCCTGGAACATCAAAGAGCGCGGGGCTGGAAGCGACCCAAACCTAGCAGAGGTGAGAGCCTGGAAGATTGCAGGGTGAGCCCAGTTGTCCAGGTCGGAAAGACCAGGCTAGAACGGGGTGAACGAGGAAGTTCCCGCAGTTGGAGCAGCCTCCGCCCCTGGGCCTCCAGTCCTTGTCGCGCTCTGCTGGGGAAATCAAGGCAGCAGAGGCCGAGAGGGAGCGGGAAGGTAAAAAGCGAGATGAGCCACAAGGCTGAGGTAGCAACCGGAATCCCTGCACGGGTCTCTGTGTTCTACCCAGCCAACCTGGTCCAGTGGCGGATAAATACACCAGCGCGCCCCCCACCGCGGCTCAGACCCTCCCTCCCTGCTCAGCTTGTCAGATCTCCCCACCTGCCACCTCGCACCAGTACATAGAGCAACAATTTTGGGAAAACAATCCTGGCCGAGTGACGGCCCCGTAATTGTGACAAAGTGAGTGCGGGCGGCTGGCGAAAGCTCTAGGGCGGGAGCGCGGGCAGGGGCGTCTCTCGCCGGCCCGCCGCCCCTTCGTTCTCATTCTGGTCACCTCCTACCCCTCCCCTTGACTCCGCTCCAGTTGCTCTTGCCCCGGCCCCTCGCGCTCGCATTCGCTTGTTTCTCCATCGCTCTTTCCTTTCCTCTCGGTAACAGCTCTTCTCCCGCTCCCCACCCCGCTGCCCTCCCCGGTGCGCTTTTCCCCGCTCACTTCGCCCTCTCCCCTCCGCCCTCCACTCATTTCTCCATCTTTTCTTCGCGCTTACGTTGCCCTTGGGACCCAGGCTCTCCCTGCACAGTCCGCTTCTCTCGCTCCCCGATCCTCAAGGCACAAACGAGCCCTGAGCCCCTCCGCCCGCTCTGCGCCCTGCGACGCCAGCGCAGCCCGGCCCTCCCGGGGCCCTCCCGCGAGCCAGCTGCGCGCTGCGCCCTGCCGTTCCCCTCCCGCCGCCGCGGTGCCCATCCCGCTCCCCGCGCCCGAGCGAGTTTGTTTGTCCAGGGCAGCGGCTGCCGCCCGCGCTGTTTGCCCAGCTTAGCGCGCCGCCGCACACTGCGGGCCCAATTAAGTCTCATTCATTATTCAGCGCGCTGTGCTGTCGCCCGCAGCCCCCAGCCGGCGGCCCCTCCCAGCCTAGGGCCCGCTGCAGGCCGGCGCAGGCCTGGTAAGGAGCCGCTTGTTCCCTCCTGCGCGGCAGGGGCTGGGGCAGGGACTTGGGAACAGAGGCGCGCTGTCTACTACTGGGGGAACCGCCGGAGGCCCGCTGGGCTCGCCCCGCCCTCAGGTCTAGCCTCGGAGATCGTGGGGTCCTAGCCGCTCCTCTGCAGTGGGGGAAATCGAGGCCCAAGAAGCTGCGTGACTTAGCCAAGGTCACGCCCTGAACCCAGGACTGGAGCCCGGGACAAAGGAGGCAGGGGCTCTCCCGGCTTAGGTCCGGATAAGGAGTCCGCTCGCGGAAGGCCCGAGGCGGGGCGGGGCGGCACACTCGAGCGGGGTACCCCCCTGCTTCCTTGTCGGTGGGTGTCTCTGCCTTAGGAACTGGAAGTGGGACCGTGTGAGGCCCTCGGGAAGGGCAGCCAAGGCCGGACCCGACGGCGCAGCCCCCTTTTGTAGCGGTATGGAGAGGCCATCAAGGATTTTTTTTTTTCTTAATTTTAGGCCCACAGCTGGGACGGGGACCTTGCTCCTGCCCGACAGCCTCCGGTAGGAATCGCTCTGGGCCGCTGCGCCGGCGCCTGGCGACAAGATGCGCCTGGGCCTCCGCCGGGCTCGGCCCGCCGTACTCGGCAGCACCATCTGGTGGTCACAGCGTCGCGCTGCAGGGGGCGCGCCTGCCCACGTGGGGCAGGATGGCAGCCGAGGCCGAGGGAAACCCGCCCTGCAGAGGTCTAGAGGGGCAGGGCGGGAAGTGGGCCGCGAGGCACTTGGGGTGGGCTGCGCCGGAGAGGCCTGGCTTCCGTGACCCAGCGGACACAGAGAGACAAAGTCCACTTGGGTGGACCTGGGAGCTGAGTGCGAGAGGCCGTCGGGACCCGGTGGGTAGGGAGAGGGCTGCCCCACCGCGGCGCGGAGCGCGGGCCAGGCCTGGCCGCTCTCCCCGGGGTGGCAGCCTGGGCTGGGCCGCATCCACGCCCCGCGGAGGGCCGGGTGGGCCGGCTCGATTGGCATCTGGTTCTGAGGATCTGTCCAGCCGCCTTAGAGGCATTCCAAGCCGGCCTCGGAAGGAGGGGTTGGAGGTGCCGGGCGCTCAGGTCTAGATCAAAACGTTTTCCAGAATGTTGAAGTGGAAGGAATTCAGGATGCCTTTCTAGTTTGACCTGTGCTAAAATGCGTGGCCTGGAGAGATGGGCAGGCCGGAAAGGGACTAAAACCTGGGTCAGGTGACTGAGAGCAGCCCTGGAGGAGTGAAGGGGCTGGCGTGAGACAGGGCGTTTTCAAAACGTTTGAGAACCTTGGAACGGGGATCCCACTCAGCCCTTCCCTGTCGCTCCCCCAGGAGTCCTTCCAGGCCAGTGTCTGAAGGGAGGGGTGCAATGTAAACGCCCAGCACCGAGCGATCAGTTTCCCAAAGGAAAGATTTTAAGAATTCTTTCCTAAATCTGAATCCAGTATACCTGTAAAGAGGAGGACGAAGGCGCTGGAGCAAGAGCTGGGGACAACCAGCATTTCAATGACAGAGAGATCTGGATTTGACTTTTATTGGAAAGGGAAATGGTTACTGTGTTTGGACTTGGATGTAGTCTTAAAATTCTATTTTTTCCCCTGTATTTCAGGGTCTAAGGATAACTCTGGGGATATTCTGGCCATGATTCTCACAGAGGACCCTGAGATTTCTGCACTTTGAGCAAAGCAATGTCAAGCGCCGCTGGATTTGTTCTGAGGCTCCTAACCTAGACAATGGCTGAGAGGCTCCCGGTGACCTATCTTCTCTGGGCTGTAGGGGGCCTTTTCAGCCTCCACCTCTATACCTGGAAAGGGACAACCAGGCCCTGCTGTGGATGCTTAGCCTAGGGGGTGGTGGGCTAGGTTGGTTCTGGGAGTTCTGGAAGCTCCCAAGATTTGTAGCTCAAGCCAACAGGGCCCAGAGGCAGAAGCAGAAGATGGGAGAGTGGACCCCGCCCCCCTCTGAGTCTCATTTGCTTTGAAAGTCAGATGATAATGGGCATCTGTTTTGCCCTGATCAGTCTTTCCCCCAAGGCCACTATGTACATTGTAGGCCTCCCCCTGTCAGTTGGCGTAGGCGTCTTGCTGGTGGCTGCTGTTGACAACAGATCTCAGACTTTAAGAGCACTCTAGGCGTGGTATTCCTTACTTCCCCTATCTGCTATGGCTGCCCTGTAGCCATTCTGCCCATCCGCTTGGCTGCCAGCATCACAGCCCAGAAGCATCACAGATACAAACCCTCAACAGAGTGGGAAACTCTCAGTGTGCGGCTCTGCCCTGAGCTTGACTTACCTCGCTTTCACAGGCCCGATGGCATGCAGTGCCCTGTGTAACACAGCAGCCACCTTCAACTATGTGGCAGAAACCCCTGGCTCCTTCTTGAGTTGGTTCAGCTTCTTCTCCCTTCGTGACCACCTCCTCGAGTGCATCCTCCCGCCTTTGTGTATCTGGTGGCTCCTGGTTGGGGATCCTGGCCTCACAGCAGCTTCCAGAATGGTAGAAGTTCTATGAGTGTCTTAACAGCTTTCAGGATAAGAAGCATCACTGGGGCTGGGGATTTAGCTCAGCGGCAAAGCGCCTGCCTGGTAAGCACAAGATCATGAGTTCGATTCCTGGTACCTGAAGAAAAAGACAAACAAACAAAAAGGATAAGAAGCATCAGCTGGCTTACCAGGTGAGGCTTTCTTCTTTCTCCTTGCTGCCTGGGACAGCTCTGGGGTAAGGAAGGGCCTTGTTGGAGCTGGTGTCCCCCGTGCAGAAGTGCCATTCTCATTTCTACTGGCCAGGTCCCAGAAGTGAGTCCTGGCCTCTTCGCACTTCTGTGCACAATGGGTGAAGTACAGACACTGATGGTGAGAGGGAGAAATATATGTGTATGGATCTTGAGATGTGGCATGTATAACATACACCGATTTTATGTATTCACCATGCACACCAAGGTATGAAACATTTCCAGCACTGAAAAGCTCCTTTCATGTTCCTTCCAGTCTGTATTCCCCTTAGAGGTAACTTCTATTCTGACTTCCCTCACTATAGATTGTGTGCCTGCGTGTGTGCTGGGTGTTAACCCTAAGATCTCCCCCATACTAGGGGGTCGCTCCACTGCCCAGTTACATCTCCACTCCCAGCCTACCACTATAGATTAGTTTTGCCCTTTCTTTTTTTTTTTTTTTTTTTTCTAGTGTTAGGGGATTGAACCCAGGGCCTTGCTCAGATTTTGTCCATTCTTGAACAGCAGATACTATAAGTAGAATCAACCAGTATATATAGTGTGTTTGTGTGGTAGTTTTTTTTGAGACAGGGTCTTGCTATGTAGTTCAGGCTGGTCTTCAACTCACTTTGTGGCCCAAGCTGGCATGTGAGCCTCCTGCCTCAGCCTGCCAAATGCTGAGATTACAGGTGTGCACCATTATGCCCAGTGACCAGTATATATTCTTTTGTATCTGTCTTTCATTTAACATTGTAAAGTTTGTTCATACTTGCATACAATTGTAAATAGTCTATTTTCATTGTTTGTAGTATCCTACTTTAGGACTTTGCCACAGTTTATTCATCCTGTTAAATTTATGGGGTGTTTCTGCTTTGGGACTATTGGCTGGGCATGGCACACATCCATAATGGGCCACATAGTTAGTTCAAGGCCAGCCTGAACTACATAGCAAAACCCTGTCTCAAAAGGGTCGGGGATTTAGCTCAGTGGTATAGTAACTTGCCTGGCAAGCACAAGGTCTTGTCATCAATTCCTGGTACCAAAAATAAAAAATACCCTGTGTTATGGCGTGTGTCTGGATGTCCCCCCAAAGCCTCATGCAGTCATGGGATGGGCTTTTAGAGTTTATGATTGATCCATGGTCCAATGCTGGAATTATGGGTCTGAGTGCTACACCCACCCTGGGGCAGATAGTTTGCATAGGTAAGAGAGAGAAAGAGTCCGCTTGTTGCTACTCCTCCCCTTCTGCTCTGGTCACTTTTGCTGTTTTCTGCCGCCATGAACAGTTGCCCTCTGCCATGTGCCACCCTGCCTTGGATCCAGCTGAGTATGGACTGAAACTTCCACAG